ATGGTTTTAGCGAACCTCTATTACAACTTTTTAAATCATATTTTAACAATAGAAAACAAATTGTATGTTATAACGGATTTATTTCATCTTCATTTGTTGCGTCCTCGGGTGTACCCCAGGGATCTAATTTGGGTCCACTACTATTTAATATATTTATAAATGATCTGACATCTAATCTAAATTGTAAGAATCCACTTTTTGGGGACGATCTTAAAATTTATTCACAAATAGGAAATCTACAGGAGTGTAAAAATCTACAAACAGAACTTAATTCTGTTCATGAGTGGTGTGTAAAAAATAAAATATATTATTATTAAATGTGCAAAAGATAAACTCTTAATTTGCAAAACATAGTTTATGATTATAAATAAGACGATGCTCTATTAGTACGTGTTTACTCTATTAAGGATCTGGAAATAACTTTTCACTCAAAATTATGATTTAATGCACATAAGTAATCGCATGCTTGGTTTTATTATAAGAAACTGTAAATCATTCTAAAGTATTCCTTCAATTCAATGGTTATTTTACTCTGGTTCGTATATGGTTTTGTAGTTTGGCATCCTTGTTACATTACATATGTATGTAAATAAAGTAAAATCGGTGCAGAGAAAATTCTTAGAATACATTTATTTTAAATTAAAGAATAATTGTCCCGTAAATGGTTTATATTTTGGTAAAAATGTGTATTTAATTATTTATTTATAATATAACAAAATATAATATATTGCACTTACAATTATGGAAAATTAAAAAAAAAACACTTTAAAATTCAATTCATAACAATTATTGTAATATCCTATTCAATTATTTATATTGAATACCATTTACTTATAATGACGTACAAAAGGTTAAATAATAATGGCCCATTAACTGACAGCTTGTCGATATGTCACTTCAGTTAAATATCAACAGCTCCTTGATTTACAATGGGCTCTTAAAGAAATAAATAGATTAATATTTAAATTGTTTACACCCCATTTTATAGTTCGTTTTGTTTCTTTATTTTGACTTTGACATATTTAATAAATTTGTTAGGCTATGTAGTTGTTTTTAATACTAGTAATTGGTACTTAATAGTTTATTATGTGTCAAGTTTGATAATCGCCATTTTAGTCACGAATTTATTTTAGGCATGAGTGTTTAGAAAGTGTTATAAACGAATTGCATACTAGGTATATCTTTTTTACGACAAATACTTATTATTATCTAAAAATGATTTAAAGTAAATATTCGTTTAGAGCGACATTTATAAAAAAATATAGTCAAAATGTCAAATGAGTAAGTGTAAATCGAAATTAATCCATTTAAAATGGACTAACAACCGTTTAAATGACGATACAAAAGCAGTTTTTCACAGTGAAAGTGAAGAGAATCTTTTTTGGGCACTTCACGATGAAGTCTCCACCCGATATTTTTAGTGCTTTCAGTTAAATCTAGTTTACGGACGGCAAAATTAAAACGTCAGAAAAAACTTACATATAAACTTTTTAAATAGGTATTGGGGTTGAGAAACTAATTAATACTTTTTATTTTTGTATTAAGATAATAAAATATTTTGCACTTTATTTTTTACCAAGAAGGGCACTTTATTTTAACGATTGTATGAAATTTCACAACTGTCAACTAACTTCACCCCGTGACTAAACCACCATAAAGCCACAACTTTTCAATGTGTATTTAAAAGATCACTTTTTTCTCTACCGAAATCGATGAGACCCGTATTTTTTCTTTTTGCATAAATTTCTTTTGTTCACCCGTAGGAAATTTTTGAAAAATAGACAGAAACATTTTTCCCTTTTTACGAGTGACATTTTTTCTTAAAAATGCGATGAGTTGGAAAAAACTGTTTCGATCGTTACACTTTTGTTTAAATTGTAGGTAAATGTTTACATACAAAAAATATAAGAGAGATTTTAGAGTAAAATGTAAATTCTTAATATGTTTTCATGTGTTACTGTTAAAAGATGTAAAAAGTATACGTACCCCTAAGTACATTTTGGTTAAAATAATAAGAAGTAAGTACCTTTTACTCGCCTAAAATTAAAGAATCGAATTAACAAGAATCTTATAAAAACGCGATTTCGAAGAAATGTAGAACACAAACAATTCCGAAAAATTTTGGTCGGTTAACAGATATTCCTTTTGACTGAGGCTCTATCAGGAAGGAAAATAAGTATGAAGCCTAAGAGGCCTAAGGAGCCTAAAAGAATCGTATTAAACTAGTCCAACGAGTCCGATAGCTGATATTTTGCCTACAGCAATAATGTTTTTGGAGAAGAATGGGCAGAATTTTGAACTACTTGAGTATTTACTTAGCGTAAAATGCTTATTTTTATTACCAATAACCAATATCGCAAAAGAATTTTTTACTATTTTTAAAGGACTCCCCTGGGGTCGTCTAAAAACAAACATTATAAAACTCATAAATCGAATAAAATGCAACTATTTGTTACTATAAAAGCATATTTTATCTTGGTAAAAATGCAATAATGTTGACAATTTAATTTATTTACCTACATAAAACTAATTTGCACCATGGAAATCTTAAGACTAAAAAACAGTGTTATTATGCGGAAAACTTTATTACCAACGATTTGTTTTTGTTTCGTTTCGAAAATAGTTCGATAATAAATTTTGATAAAGGCAAAGCATAATTTTAAACAATAAAACGCGCGACACGCGCTCCCTTATCGTATATCTGAAACAATTTATGAATGATTTTTCCTGTTTCGCAATTTGTATAATACTTATTTAGTCGTATAACATGGGGAAATTATTAAAGTATTTTTCAATTTCCCACCGGCAAATTTATAGGGCATTAGCAGACGTGGGTATTGCGAGAGCTTAGTTTATATAGAATTTAACACGATTCTTGAAATTATAGTAAAACTTAAGACATGCTTTATTTATTTAATGTATTAATAATAATCAAAATACTATACTTATTTAACTAGCAATTCTGTATTGCCAAATATATTTATAGAACAAAACTTCAGTCCGTGACTAAAACGCCGTAAAGCCACAACTTGTGAATGTTTATTTAAAAGGTCACTTAGTGTCATGGAAACATGTACGATAAAGAGCGTTTTAAAGGTGGGAGTAGAAAAAATAATTTAGATAATTTAAGGTCGTTATGGTTAAATGGTGGACAAATCAGAGGTCTAATATTAAACACAGCCAACAATTTTCCAATTTTAATTTAAGCTAACTTCAGACCATTCCAACATATAATTTTTTTGTTCCCATACTTACTCGTTTATAAGACATTTTATACCTGTACCCTTATGAAATAAAATTTTCATTACGATACAGATTTTTAGCACAGTGATATTAACCATTTCCATAGACATCCGACAGATATAATATTTATCAATTTTATTAAGAAAATTTTTAAATTTTGATTTTTTTCAAGTTAAAATTAGTAAACAATTTTAAACGTAAATGTTAAATTGAAAATTTAACCCCGCCAAAAATTATAACATGTCGCAAAAGCCGGTTTATTACTATAAATTTAAAAATTAATATAATCACAACCCTAGTGACGTAAAAAAGCGTAAAAAAATTAAAGACGTTATCCATATACGTATAATGTAAGTCACCACTAAAGAAGACTCTTGATTTAAGTAATAACAAAATTAATTTCTAATTAATAGTCGAATAAATACTGTTGAAGTAAAAAACAGCTTTAAAAAAAAAAATACGTACACAATGTAATTAAATAATTTAAATTTAATTTAACATGTGCGTATAAGTTAAATCAGGTTGATGTATATTTGCGTAAAAGGAAACGAACGAAACCGTTTTCATATTCGTGTAGATCTGGTAAATTATAATTTAACGGAAAAATTTTATTTGAAAAATTACATAAATTTACATATTTGTAATTTATTTGGTATATTTTAATCTGCATAAAATTTCCATCTAAATTATTCGTTTTTGTTTACATGATCTTTTTTAATTTGTTATTCGTATATATACAAGTTTTACTTTATTGGTATACTTGATTAATATCTAATGGTTATTCGTATTTCTATATTTATAACACTAGAATTTTATAATTTAATTGTTTTTCCAATTCTTTTAATAAATAAAAAAATGTTTAAATATTTGTTAAAATTATATAACAAACATCTTTAATTTTTTTACTCGGAAACCAGACTGTCAATCTTTCTAAAAGTTTGTGAATGTCTTTTAAGTAGTCCCTACTTTAGCTTAGAATTTTATTGATAACGAATTTATATAAAAAATTAAATAAAAGTTTTATTAAAAATGTCATTAAAAGTTTTATTAATAACACGAGTCTACAAAAAAAAATTCGTTCTTTGTCCTAAAGTTTATTTTATGATTTTTCAGTTAATTATGAACAAAAACGAAAAGAAAATACATTTTTTTGGCATAAAGTTTGCTTTTGTGATAGTTATAGTAATAATACTCATTTTTGAATTTTTTTATAAATTTTTATTAATTTTAATACATTTAAAAATACCACGCGATCAGAGTGGGGTTTTTACGTTTACATAGTGCCGCTAGATGGTACTTAAGTGATAAACAACGATCAGGTGTTTTGTACAAGTCTAGAAAAAATTAAAATGTCGTCGCGAACGTGTAAATATGATGCTAATGCAGTTTGTTATATATGTGGTCAATTTCGAGACGTAAAATACGAACTAAAGACATCTCACGTTCTATGTGAAGCCTAAGAAGCATATTTTGACTGTCCTGTTCGGCATCAAGACAAGCCATGAGCTCCACATGTTGCTTGTAGTTATTTCAAAAGATGTATGGAAGTTAAGCAATTTTTAATTAAGCGGTGAATCAAATATAATTATATTATATTATTATACTAGACATAATAATTTTTATTTCTATATTTTAGGTTGGTATCGAGGTGAAAAGAGGTCCATGAAATTTGCAATACCAAGGATCTGGAGAGAACCAAAAGACCACGTCAATGAGTGCTACTTTTGCATTGTGAATCCGAGTAAGTAGAGGTAAAAATGCAACCTATCAAATATCCTGAACTTGAATCTTCTTCCGGTCCAATTGCACACGACCTGACACGACCAGTACCTGAGCCACCGAAAAAATTATCGCAGAAAAGTAGCTTATCTCTTAGTTCTAGTAAAAGTAATTCCGATAGGGAGTTTTTACCTACACTAGAACAACCAAAATACCATCTTATTACTACAGAAGATTTTAACGACTTGGTAAGAGACTTAAATTTGTCAAAAAATAAAGCAGAGCTTTTAGGCTCTCGCTTAAAACCGTGGAATTTGTTTGATGATGTTATTATCATGGATCAGCGGACTAGGCATGAAACATTCTTAACGTTTTTCACAAAAGAAGATGGACTTTGTTTTTGCAATGATATAAAAGGGATGTTCGAAGAATTTGGCATACCCTAGGCCCTAGGGGCCTAGCGAATAGCGTTTATTCATTGAAAGCTTGAATCTGTATCGCGAGTATAACTGGCAGTTGATTGGAGATTTTAAAATGGTGGGATTTTTAATGGGACTACAGAGCGGATATACAAAAATTTCCAACGTTGCTGAATCTTACTCAAAAAGAGAGTTGGGACAGTTTCAAAGCAGCAGTTTCTGGACTTTTAGAAAATAATAAAGCTGAAAACTACGAAAAAGCGTACACTTTTAAATTATTTTCCACTTTTTTGTAAGTTATTTTAAAAGTAAAACTTAATACAAATAATAAACATATTTATTTAAATGGCTTCATCTTCAATTAAAAATTAAAACCACAGATTTTGAAAAATATCGTTCAATCGGTCTCCTAAATACAAAAGCAAACTTTTTCATGTCATATATTTTTTTTTCGTCTAATTAAGACCTAAATTATCGAAATTTTATGCATTGAAATCAAAGTCAAATTTTGTGTTGACCTGTGTAATCAACCATTCAAATTTATTGTTATATCTGAAGGCACTTATAATTTACTGCGAATTGTTATATTGCGGTGTGTCTATTATTTGCATCTTTTGCTTTACGAAAGTTCATTTCCATTAACATAGTCTGCTACTTTTATCATCCAAAGCGCACAGTTAAAAGTTTGCGAATAAACTTTGCAATTTACCAATTGTTCTATTGTGAGATAAAAAAACAAAACTGAATTAAATTTTATTAAGCCTTACCTATGCAGCAAAATATTAATTAAAACTTCTTTGTAACTATTTATAACTTAATACCTTCCATGGTTTTTAATGCATAATTTTTGTTATTCATTTCATAAATATGATTTTATTTGGAGACATGATTTACATAAATGAGGTATGAGGCTTCTAAAGATGAAAATAGGCTACTAAATTTTTTCTACTACCTTACTAGAAAACTTAATTTTCCATCCCTGAGGAAAATGCCACTTTTCCTCCCCGGAAGGAAAAACATTTTCCTCCATCTTTTTTTTAACAATTTTACATTATCAAGAGTTTTTGTACATTGTTACTGTTACTGTTAAAAGGTAATAGAAAAAACTATATACATACCTCAGGAGGAAAATGCGTTTCCTCCCTTAAATATTTAATGCCCTTCGCTTCGCATCGGGCATCAAACTATTCGCGGGAGGAAAAGCACTATTTTCCTCCCATGGTATGTAAATAGTTATTGACAAATAGTAGTACCATATTTCCTCCCTCTTTTTTTTTTAACAATTTTACATTAGCAAGAGTTTTTGTACCTTGTCTAGCCCTATTTGATTTTGTAGGAAAAAGATTTACTCCGCGCTTGTCCAATCATTCTTTGAACAATCTATATTTATTTTCATATCGCTCTTTCGATTTTTAAGAAAGGAAATTAATTGCTATTCTTGCCTCTTCAGCAAGCTCTTGCGGCAGGTCTTCTTCGCTAGAACTAATTTTCAAAACGTAGGAAGAATTTCAAATTTATGATAAACATTCTGACAGCTTATAACAACTGTTATGTTTGTATTAAAAAAATACCATAGCAACAAAGCGTTGTCAACATTACGTCGGCGACGCAACACCTACTTAATATTTTGTCATAATTTTATAGTCCCATACCGAGTAAGTAAAAGGAACCGGAACGCTTAAAATGTCTTAAAACTGTTAAAAGGTAATAGAAAAAACTATATAGGAAATGCTTTTTCTCCCTTGAATATTTAATGCCCTTCGCTTCGGGCATTAAACTATTCGCGGGAGGAAAACCACTATTTTCCTCCCATGGTATGTAAATAGCTATTAAATTATTAAATTTGACAGATGTCAACCAACTTATCCTCACTTTTATTTAATTTTAACTTAAAGCCAACTTCAGCCCTCGGGCGAAGTAAAATTTCGCCCCCTTTGTATTTTCGAGGTCAAACGATACTTTAAAGGAACAATTATAATAATATATTATTATATTAATTATTAAATATAGAAAGTTAGATTAAAGAGATCTAGTAGTAGTCATTAATTTCTCCAAATGGGATTTTACTATATAGGAAATAAAAACTTTACCCGATTGGTCTAAATTATTTTTAAAATCGATCACTTTAGTAGTGAGTGTTGGCAACAATAAGGTTTAAATTATAGAACGCTTAAAGATAAAAGGGTTTATTATGGGATCCGAAATTCAATCAATATAAATTTTTATGCATGTATGTCTAAATAGTCTTTATGGAAACATTTATATAAAAAAAAAATTATTTATTTTTATTTTAAATTCAGCTTATTTCATGTTTTATAGGCTTTGTATTAAACCTATGTAAAATTTTGCAAAAAAAAAATAAATGAAATGCAATTCACTTACCAACTTTGTTGATTTTTGCAATATTGTCTATTAAAATCATTGTTAATATATAAAATATTTTAAAACTATCACATTCAAAATCGTTTTTGTCATATTTTCCATAAAATAATTTTATCATCATGAATGTAAATGTAATTTATTATTTAAAAAAAAACACCAATGCCCAATACTTGTATTGCTTTTTAAAGTATTTTAAATTTGATGGAAAAAAATATAAAATATTATACCCCAATATTGCTAGTAGCTCCGCAACTTGGCCGTTATCATCGTAACCAGAATTCAGATTTTATTAAGCAGCTGTCAAACGCGTATTTTTAAGAATAAACCAATTTTTTTTAAATATTGAAAAAAAAACCGTGTTACGATTCAATTCAAAAAACATTTAGTATTATTCAAAGCGTTGATGAAGAAAGTCTCCTTATGTATTATATTTAATATTATGTTTCCGTGAATTGGTGTGTATATTTTTTAGTTTAAAATGGGCGGTTTTTAGAGGACTTAAATATAAAAATATTTGATTTTAAGGTTATGTTTGTACAACATTTATTTTTTGTTAGATTTCTTTAAAATGTCCAAACTTAAATATAAATTATGTTGGGTAAAGTTATTATTACTTAATTCTGCACCAACAAATATATCGCACATGGGCGACAACAGTTTCATAAGTAGTAAAACCTTAATTCCGAGATAATGAACGTCAAAGATTTTTGAGTAATAAAATTTTCACATATTTGTAAAATTATTTTAACTTACAGTATTTTCTTTGCAAAGGAAGAACCACACTAAGATTCTGAGCCAGTTTGCAGATATGTCTGTATTGCTATAAATGTGTCGATCAATTTTTTATTTATTCATTCTTTTATTGTTGATTATAAATATGAGGAACGTATGACCCCATCGGCAACGCCTTACACTGATTTCCCAGGGTTATTTTTACCCCCTTTCAGTTCTCCTACGTATCCCACCACTGCACAGCATTGCCTGTTTTGGTGGATCCAAATTTTCTCCCGACTGACCCAAAACTAGTAAAATCCAGAGTCCCCCTAAACCAGGTTTTTAGTAATTACTCTATTCAATTGGGGTTCATGAAAGGGGCTTGGTTGGTTAGTACGCTGCTAGGACCTATCTTTGCTGGTCTTGAAGTACTTCCTGTTCGTGTCCCGGTCTCCGTCCGAGTTAGTTAGTAAGTAATCTACAGATTTTTATTTCTTTAGGATGAGTTTCTTTTGCCTAGTGTTTATCTGAACTTGAGTGTTTAATGACTGCTTATTTATGAGTTCTTTGGCTATGCTTGCTGTTCTTATGGAAACTGTTGGTGACTAATTAATTTTTATCTGGTGGAGTTCTTTATAAGTTAAGGTTGCGAATTTCGATTTAAAATTTAGTATATCGGTATTCCAATTTTGGTATCCTGTTTATGCAGACTTGGACTTCAGGTGCATTGACATTAACAGGTGTTGTGAAATTATTTCTTAATCTCGACAGCCAACTATTAGCACGTGTTCTTTCTGTGTTGATAATCCAGAAAAAATGATTCGTTGTATCCAATCACCTCCCTCACACTCTTTTGCACTTATGACTTTGGGACTTAATCCTGGAGGAGGTGCCACACGCAATTTGCACCCTTTTTGCACTTGCTTCTGGTAGATCACGTGTAGAATCATTAATTGATTTTTTGAATTTGAACACCGATAGCGGTGTTAGCACTATGGAAGTACGAACACATTAAACGAAACCCTAAACACACGACCTTATGCCTTTAGGTGAGGAGCGTTACTTATTCATTCTTTTATTAACTTTAACTTTCCCAGGTAGCATACTGACGTCTGCTGTCTTTTAATGACGTCTTCTGACGTCATTTCAACGTCATTTAAACGTCAGCAGACGTCAGTGTGCTACCTGGGTTACTGACCCACGTTAACAAAATTTCTGTCACAACTTACAGGAAACTTACTTATGATACTGTTGATGAAAATTATGATATGGATTTTACAAATTGTAGACAGACACAAGTCTTCATCTAGGGATTAATTTCAAAAATATTTTTATGCCACTGTTGCAGCATAAACTATGAGTAATTTTACACTTATTGCACTAAAAACCCCAAAATTTAGTTTTTTGACGTATGACACTGTTGTCGCCCATGTGCGATATGTACCATATTGGATCCTTTGGGAGGACAATGCAACGATTTAGTTTTTTATTTAATATTAAAAACACAACAATTTACCATGATCATTACATACAATAACGTAAATATATAAGTATACAAGAGTTAAGTTATTCTTAATCAATAATATAAAGAATAATAAATCGAAATCGAGTACTGAACCAAAGTTTTTTAGTTATTACTTGCAATACAAATAACGTGTGCAATTAAGCAAAATTTGTCGAGTAAGACTTCTGCCTTCCTCTCTTTTGTGAAAAAAACACTTATTTATTTAAAAATGATGTGCAGTTGTATGCTTAAATGTATTGTTGACATTTCTTGTTCTGTCAACAATGCTCTCGAATACCAGCAGATGGCATGCTTCTTTAGCGTAAACTATATTATTTACCGAGCGTGGAATCATAGCAATTACATTGAGGGAGTAATACACAATACTTTTTCGTCGGGTGTAATCGCTTACAAATACACAATTTGG